CTACTTCGGAAAAAAAAAGAAAAGGAAAAAAAAAACAAAAAAAAAGTTTGGAGAATGAGACGTTTAGACTTTGGCTAGAAACGGATAGAAACTGGACTTGTTAGCAAAGAGAGGGGTGCCATTAGTTGCATTGATCGGTGCATTCGTTAAAGAGATTGACAAACTATGGTGGTCACTTGAATTGATACTTGATGTGTTTGCGTTCTTAGAATAAGTTCATCTTGAGTCCGGATAAATTGGTTTGAGTTGTTTGAACTATGCACTTATGTGAGAATTGTGAGGCTTTGAGCAAAAGTTCCACGTACTTGTTTTCTTGTCCATCTATGTGCTTATAGTTCTAAGTTGCTTGGGGACAAGCAATGGTTTAAGTTTGGGGAGATTTGATAGGTCAAAAAATGTGCACGTTTTATATATTTAATAGTGTACTCCTATACACTAAATTTATTTGCACATCTATGTTTTTCGATTTATTTATTTATTAGATGGATCAAAGTGCTATGATATATTTATTATTTATTTTCAGAATATTGGAGTGTTTTCACGGACGACAAGACGGACCAAGGAATTACTAGCGAGTTGGACTAAAACTAAGCGATTAAGGCCCAATGTGATAATTAATTTGGACCCCCTGGAGATTCACGCGAGAAGGGCTGGGATTATCTACATGGTCCAACAAGGTTTAGAATGGAATTGGTGGAAATATGACATGCTGAGATAGAAATGCTCCCTTACCCAAAAATACATCACCAATGAGTGCATGTCACCTCCGCGGTGGGCATATTAACATGTGTCCACGGTGGGTAGGTGAGCATTTCTCCATGCTGAGATTTGACATAGTCCAAAGGAAATTGGACTTTCACGCAGCAACTTAGGATTTTATCTTGGAAAGAATTACTTGGCAGGCACATAATATATATTTGACGCATCCACCAAGAATTAAAAGGGGATTGAGGTAGCCGCCACACAAGACGCAGTAGAGCCGCGAGCAGAGGACTTACGCGAGAAGCCGACAAATTGCGGAGGGAGACTTCACCCGCACACGAGGAGGATAACTATATTCTTCTCCTTTTCTTTTTATTTATTATGTTAGGCTAGATTTTATTTCTAGTTCCGGGGAAGTCGAACCCTAAGATTGACTATGTTTTGATCAATTTATGGTTGATTATTGAGTTATCTTTTTGGAATTGCTTGTGTTATTTTGAATAATTAACCATGATGTGTTGAGTTGAATTTAGATTGATCACCTAGATTAGGCTTTTCATATCTACATCTGAATTAGACCTGCAATCCGTAATTGTTGTTGTGTTTAATTCATAAGAGGTAACCGAAAGATGGTAACTACCGGGGATAACACGGCCTATTTAAGTGAACGAACGCGTCACTACTTAGTCTAGCCTATTTTTCTAATTCGTAAAGCGACTGATTGTATTAAATCTAAGAAGCATTTTCTAGACTGTACAAGAAGTCAGGTTTAATCGTAGAGCGTCTCGCGGTTAAATTAAAAATAAGGAAAAATTCGGGTAACAGACCGTGTCGTTACCTAGGGCTAGTAATTTCATAAGATAGCGAGATTTGATACCAAATTTGATTAGACGAGTCAGTCGAGGGCGTAGACGGAACCGTGAACTAGAAATTTCTCTTTATTTATTTTATTTTATTTTTATTTTCTAGTTTATATTTTATTTGCTTCATTAGGATTTTAGTTATTTTAGTTATTAAATCCAACCCCCCCCTCCTTTTATTGCTTTTATAATTCAATTAATACGAGAAAATTCATAATTTGATTCACACTCCCTGTGGATCGACCCTTGCTCGCCACTACTACCAGTTAGTAAAGGTTAGTCAAGGAAAAATATAAATTTTAATTTTGCCGCGTTGCGACGCGCGGTCATTAATAATTAAATATATTTTTCATTGTAGCAGATTTTGAGAATGAACGATTTTATATGAGATATATACAAATCTTTTTTTTTAGATATACATCAATTCCAATTTATTGGTATTCTTTTTGTCAATTATTTTTAAAAGGAAAATTTTCAAAATTGTGTAAAGTAAATCGATTTTTTGTATTTGTATACACAAAATATAAATATATTGCAATATATATATATATATATATATATATATTTACTACCTAAAAAGTTGTCATACAAATATTAGAAAAGTTGTCCAATTAAAAATTGTTCAGTTTGAAAATACATAACAAGTTGTCATACATTCAATTAAAAATTGTTCGGCTTGAAAAAATTAGCCTGAAGTAATGTCTAATCACTAATGTTTTATATTTTATATCTACTATATATAAAATCTCTCTCATAAAATTAGTGTGATGTAATATTTAATGTTTTGTATTATTCATACATATTTTTGTAGATATACACCAATTCATTTGTCCAACTGTTGTATAAATTATCATATTATAAATAGATCCATCTTAGACTTCCATTTAAGTTCCAGCAGCACCAGTTCCTTCTGATTTTGTGGTTCCATTTAACAGTCATGGTCAGTCGTCTTTTTGTATAAAAAAATATAGAAATATTAGTAAATATTATATAGCTAATCAAGTAAATCGATATTAAACTAACAGCTCATTGTCTGACTGCCTAAGTAAATTATCATATTATAAAAAGATCCATCTTAGGATTTCATTTAAGTTCTAGAGCACCAGTTACTTCTAATCTTAGGGTTTCATTTAAGATCAGGGTCAGTCTTTATGCGCGTTGGCATATTATTAAAGAAATCGGTTCTTAGCAACGACCGATTATAATAGATAAGAGATGTGCATTGACATGTTCTTAAAAAAAATTTCTTTGATCACGACCAATTGTATGTTGTTACGCGTGTAAGTAATTGGTCCAAAAGAGTCAAGGTCAATATTTATTGTACGTTGGCATGTTAAGTAACAGATCAAGAAGAGTCAAGGTCAACATTTATTGTACGTTGACATGTTCTTAAAGAAATCAATTTTTTAGTCACGGAAAATTATGTTGTTTGTTTCGCGTGTAAATAATAGAAAAGTGTTGAAAATATTAGTTTGTGGAGACGACGAGTTGCTCAGTTATTGAACAAATAATGTTGCGTACAAGAAAGTTTAAATAATAGTATATTTTTTGCATAAGGAACATCTTATGGTTTGATAATTTTCCTATGAATTATCACTCTTTTAGTTATTAATACATTTTAATTTTATATATTCTCCAAAAAATAAAGTCCGTGCATCGCACGGGTTACATACTAGTCCTTATTATATATTAATAGATTGTATGAATGCATAAAAAAATGCGCTTTATCCAATGAGAAATAAAATTCTTTTTCCCACTCAAGTCGTACTACTAGTCTTCTCATTCTTTTTTTTTTTTTTTCTTTTTTCTTTAATATGAAAACGCCATCTAGAACTTGTATAAGCAACCCAAAGGAAAAAAAAAAGTCTTGTAATAGCAAAAACAAATCTCTCAACTCACGTACATGGTGAACTCGGAACCCAAATCTATCAATCCTTAAGTTTCCTCTTCCTATATTCACTATTTAAGGACTATCTGTATGTATAGATAGATTCATCCCTGCCCCCAAGACACTTCCCCCATGGGGGTTTCACCCGTCAAACCACACGCTCACACACATCCGTGTGGGTGAACTGATCCTATGGTCAAAACCCCCTTGAGGGTAGTGGCCACGACAGTCGGGTGAAATTAATCCTTCCACAGAATCCACAAGGAAAGCTCGGGTATTTTTGTAGGTTCTCATGGGGGCACAGTTATTCTTTTTGTCCCAGAGAAGTACAAACTCATAATACTTTGTTCAATGTCTGAATAACACCATCTTGTTTCAAGAAAATGAAAAATATTTGCAAAAGATGAAAACTAGAGAGCTAGCATTTAGATAGATATATATTACAATCATTTACAGCCAAAAAGCAGATAAGTACGTACTTCTAGATTGATTCAGGCTCATGAGAATATAGCACGAAGAAACTTGCAGAATATGCCGACTATTATCTGCATGTTTCAGTTGCCACTCACCCGAGCAGAACTTCGAGTCACTCTCTTCTTACCCTTTGTAGCACCCACATTTAGTGACGGATCAGATTCTGCCACATCAGCATGGTCTTCTCTTAACATTCTGCGCCTTCTTTTTGTGGAACGCTGGGAGTGCTGTGGGTTTTGAGAATGGGCATTTGAGTCGTTCAGTGTTTCCTCAGCTTCTGGTTTCACTATAAACCCAGGCCACTGTGCACCGCAAGTTGGGCAAACTTTGTCGGCCTGAAAAATTAATCAATTTGGTATATTTAAGTAATCAAGCATGGTTGAGACTTTTTGGACTACAGTTCAGGAGAAAGTACCCTTTGTTGAGAGAATTTCTTTTCCAGGCAATACTGATGAAGACGGGCATTACATGAATCATTCCCGCAAAGTTGGGCCTACTCAATATATACATAGCAGAATATGAGTTTTCATAATAAATAAATGAAACAAGCCATGTCATATGAGTTAGGGGACTTCACAAGGCTCAAGAGTCACTAAGTAAAGCAATGTGAGCCTTCAGGAATCTGTGACTAATCCAAGACAATACATTCTCTATTTAAAAAATAAAAACCTTCCACAGAGAACCTAAAAAGAGAACACTCTCTATAGTGGGAAAACGAGAATTCTTCATCACTCAGTACTAAATTCACAACTCCGGTAATCTTGTACAAATGAATCCTATAGAAGTAGCATGTAAATGCCAATTCGCTACATATTACAAATCAAAGCATCAAGAGAAAATGCTTGCCTGTGTATTTGCAAAGGTTAGTATCAAATCAGCATGATAAACTACAAACTAAATATAGAAGGCAAAAATTCAGCACAATGCACTGACCTTAACAGCAGCCTCATTGCAAACCTCGCATGTAGGAACCTCATTAGTCCGAAACCAACTTCGTAGATCCAAAAAGGATCTAACCCCTATACCAATTTTCCCATCTGGTGTTGAAGATAGCCATTTGTCCTTCAGCAATTGTTCGAGAGTTTTTTCCTTCTGCGACATTGAGAAATTCTTAAAGGCGGGGGGGATCTGGGATGAACCTCCCTGTGATTGTGAATCTGTTGCCCCTTGAATCTGCAGTTACACAAAACTTTGTCAGTCAACGGTGGTATCATCTGGTAAAAAATAACTTTTCCTTCGATTAGAAAGTCTAATTAACAACAAAATAATGGTTAAAAGGAAAGACGTAAACCTGTGCTTCCAAACGTATATATAAAGCATCAGTGTTGGAAATGCAACCAGTAGCTTCAGCATCTTGTATAATTGCCTCAACCTAATCCAAAATAACAAATGTCTGGTACAGAGGTGAAGATGCTCTATAAACTCAAGATAAACTGCAAGAAAAATTAAATAGCATATGGAATGCAAACAAAAGTATGTTCTGTTCCAGAGAATCCAAACCACACACGACACATAAAATATAATTCAACAATAGTAGCCTCTTATAAATTTTAAAAAAAAAAAAAAAAAAAAAAAAAAAAAAAAATTTAAAAAAAAAAAAAAAAAAAAAAAAAAAAAAAAAACAAACACCCATTGTAGAACAATAATTTTCAAGTAAAACTGTATAAGAAAAAGGAGATTATTTGGATCTGTAGCAATAAATAACTTGGGTAAGTACATGATTCCAAGTGCTTACCTAACTAGTCTCAAACAACAAATCAACCTAATATCGGGAACCAGAACAAGATATCTCACCATTCTGCAAATATCTCCAGGCCAACATAACTCATTAGTAGTCCACTTAAGACAACACATTCAGCAAAACCAAGGGCAAACTATCCTAGCTGATCCATGAAAATCTAAGAAAACATGTCTATGTCCCATTGGAGCAGGTGAAGGTTATATAACCGCAAATGAATTTCTTCACGTATTAGAAATATTAAAAATATAAAATTATTTCGGGCAGCTGGGCTGTAAGATTAACAAAGTTTCATCAACATACACACAGAACAGTTATCCCACAATGCAATTTCTCAGCCTACAGAGACAAAATTCTTGCAATAATTGAGTCATTATCAATATTGGTCAGTAGTCCCCACAAAACAAACCTCTGACAGGATCGTTTGTAGAAGATTTTCCCTTCACCCTTATAGTTTCACCAAAGAATAAAAAAAAAAAAAAAAAAAAAAAAAAAAAAAAAAAAAAAAAAAAAAAAAAGGACGAAAGCAATGGAAAAAAACTCACAATTCCTTTGTAGAAAGCAATCTGAGGAACTGAGTATTTTGTCCCAAGCTTAGATTGGTCATCTGAAACATTGTTGACAACACCATAATACACACGGCCATCATATTGGTTTCGGCATGCTCTCAGTTCTAACTGAACATAACCTAATTCTGCATTTATCTTCCGAAGATATTCATTAAACAATTGCTGCTGGAAGCCTGTGAAAGAACACATGTTACCAAAGAGACGGCACAAAGATCACTGTAGGCTTCTAAGTAAGTAAAAACCCACCAGAACTGCTGAACATGCTTCAGGTAGTCTGGGGAAAACAATTGCATGCGTAACACCGAAAAATTCGTAACTTTTGTTTAGATAAAAATGTTTTAGATCTTGAAATAGAGTTAAAACATCTCAACAAGGAACATAATTAGACACGAGATGTAATGTTGATATACCCAACACCATTTTTTAAAGCTTCAACCGAACAAATCTAGTGTAGAATCAATAATTTAATACTATGTCTTGAAAGACTTCACTCATGACATAGATAATTTCTCAGACAAAAAGTACAATCTCTTCAAGCCCATGCAATACACAGCGCACTCGCACCACCCCAACACAAAATGCATTAGAAGAAGAGTTGATTTCAAGGATAAAAGATAAACCTGAGCTTTTTTTGGTAAGCTGTGAGAAGATAGACCGGAAATCGTCTTCCTTGAGCGGGCCCCGGGATAGCAGCGCCTGTATTAGGGTGTGGTGGCGCCAGCTCAGAGACGACATTATCCGGCGAGTATAGAGAGAAGAAAAATCCGACTTCCTGAGGGAAGGTGGAGAGAATAATGATTGGCAAAATTACAAGCGCCAGCCAGAAGGGGAGGAGAGATGGGGGTTAATGGCTGAAATTGGGGCTCCAAATGGCGGGAAAAGAATTAGGGCTAATTGTGTGCGTTGGCAGCGAGTTAAAAATGGGGTTATAGTAACATCCTCAATCCTAAAAATGATAAAAATATATTCTAGTCTATTTTATGATCAAAGATGACAAAGAATAATGTCAAAATAATTTTTTAAATTTTTTTTTCGAAACGATAGATTTTATAGCTCAAATAAAATAAGGTACATACCGCGGGCTAATTAGCTCGAATAGTTAATCTAAACAGATAATGAACACTCCATATGGTGAACAAAAGAGCAAACTAAGTAGAAATGAAGTTCAAGTATTGGCAGTCTCTAAAGACTGGGTCAAATAGTTTGAAATTTCATTTCCGGGCCTAGCAAAATCAAATGAACAAGGCACTACAAAAAGGGATTTGGTGATAACCTTGTGATGCGTCCACCATACTAAATAAATTGCACCTCACTCTAGAGTCGACCAACTGGTCAATCCTGATGAGAGAGTAGTAGTCTTTTGGATTGGCCTTATTCAGGTATTTAAAGTCAATACACATCCTTCATTTGCTCTTCATACTTGGTAATCATTGTTGTATTTGAAAGCCACTCCGAAAATTGTATCTTGATGACGTGTCTCGCCTTCAATAGTTTATCGACCTTCTACACTATAACCTGTCCATCTTAGCTCCATGGTGTCTCATTTTTTGCTTCACAAGTCGAGCCTTAGGATCGATATTCAACCTATGCTCAATTATGGTAGTCTCGATTTGTGTCAGCTCGTCTGGGGTGAATGCATAAATGTCCTAAAACTCCCTAATTAAGTTAATGAGTTATCCCTTCAATGGTTGCACCAATTCCTTCCAAATTTTATCTTCCTCCCTTCAACACCCTTGACTAATTGGACCTCCACCAGTTCTTTCCCTGGTTGCATTTTTTTTTCTTTTTTTGCCCACGACCTGCCTACCTCTTTGCCCGAACTACCAACACCTCTAATCCCTTGTTTTTTTAATCTACTTACCCATTTAGCTCCCTGCGGCCCTACTTTCACAATCACCTAATAGAGCAACCTTGAAATGAGTTGGTATCCTTCGACCTCTCCCATCAGCTCGCCAACTGGATATTTTATCTTCATATGATAAGTGGACACCATAGCATGGAATGAATTCAAGATCAGCCTCCCCAGTATAATGTCATAAGTCGATTCAGCTCCCACTATCAAAAACCTTATCATCTTCACTTTCTTTATCAGTCATGTCCTCATAGCAACTGGTAGAGTGACCCCACCCTCCCATGGGAACGATCTCTCTTCCAGTAAACCCAAACAATGATGTACTGACCTCCTTTAGTTGCACATCCAAATCTATATGCTTGAAGCAGTCAAAGAACATCACATCAACCAAGCTCCCATATCGATGAATATGCGCTAGACCTCATATCCAACGGCCGCCGCTGAGTCAACCAACACATCATTGTGAGGTATATGTACGCCTTTGACATCGTCCGACCTAAAGCTTATGGTGGGTTCCTTCATCGTGAACTCAGTTTCCTCTCTCTTCCTTTTAGCAGCTTGAGCATATTGTTTTCTAGCATTGTTGGAGTCCCCACCAGTGGGTCCCCTCCATGTCATGTGTATAACTCCCCCTCTTGGAAGGTACCTCATCCTCGACCTTATGCTCTCGGGGTCTCTTTCCCTTGTATTTCCTCTTTTGGGCTCTTCTCTCTCTGTCTTTGTATACAAACTCTTTTAAGTGACCAATCCTGATAAATCATTCGAACTCATCATTCAGGTGTTGCAGTTGTCCGTGGTGTGACCATAATTTCTATGAAAGCAACAATACAACTTGGATTTAGATTGTGTAGAGCCCTCTTTCCTTGACTTGGGCCACGTGATCATTTCTCCATCCATTTTTTACCTTGATTGATACTAACAATTCTCTTTATATCTTATAAATAAACGGCCCATTACTTTGTCCTTATCACCGTGCTCTATTTTTCAAAAGTTATCTAGAACTATTTGCATGAACAAAGCTCTCGACTATATCCTCAAACAACGAGTTCAATATCCATGAAATGATCAGATAATCCGTTTTCTTCTAAATATCATAGTTCTCATCAGTTTCATTAGGCATACCATTGATGAATCCAAGCTTTGATTAGCTCATACAACGGTCATCATTGATTTGCGCCATGGAAGGTAATTTGCTCCTGTGAGTGGATGCGACACCAATATTATCCCCAGATTATCAAACCTCTGAAGCTAAATCGGATCTTCGAGAGTAGGATTTTGTTTGGATGAAGTCGCCTTGCCGTCCTTGGCATTTAGCAACGAGCATGTGGTGGTATTCCAAGGATTCACCATTTTCAGATCGATTATAACCAAGCTCTATATACGATGTGAAATGGCGAAAGAAGATAAAATATGTCGAGACTTTCTTATCTGTTCTCACATCTCATTATCGAAACTCTATGCAACACACATATTTTGTTACAGTTCAAATGAAGACGATGAAGGGGAAAATATCCTAACCAACTTGACTGTTGGTAAATGATCTCAGCCGTACACGTGACTGAGATCAAATAAAGTCTGACAACAAAAGAAAATAGAGACATGACGCGCTTTTACAAGCCGTATGTGACTTAACTGAAGAGAGAAAAATAAAATAAAACACAACGGACTACATGAATGCGAGCAAGAATAAAAACCAAACATAAAAACATGGACTTATTAAATATTCAATCTTCAACATTTTACTTGCATTTGCACATGTGCACACGACCGAGTATCTATTAATATATAATAAGGATTAACATAATTCACTTTTAGAAAGTATTTCCCGACAAAATATTAATTACACACTAAATATGGTAATTTTAGAATGTATTTTAAATAAAAAATATTAATTATATTATTATAATTTCCTATTAAAATGGAATCCGGATTGTATTTAAATATTCTGTTAGATATATTCTGTTATAGCATATTTGTTAACGATTTAATGGTGCATGCAATATTCTGTTAGCATATTTATAGCGATTTATTTTATACATACTAATTTATTTACACTCAAATTATTTTAATTTATCATTATCCACTTTTTATGGTAGATGTTGGGTATTTTATCTTAATATCAACATATTTTATTAAATCAGTGATATTGTCAAATCATTTTTATTTAAATTCTTGGATCCTTTGTTGTTGTATACGTTTTTAATTAATTTAAAATCAAACCTTTTCATATAATCTCGGTTTTTACGAAAATGATTTTCTCAACTAATATTTTTTATATCTATCAGATTTTATAAAATTACTTATTAAAAATAAAATTCATTTTATCAAATCATCTTATAAAATCACAATTTGTATTTGTTGAGTGTAATTTTTTCTATTTATCAGATTTTATAAATTATTGATTAAAACTTGAAATCACATTTTACAAATGGGCAATATATATTTTTATTTTTATTTGCAAACAAACTTTAAATCATCAATAGTATTAGACATGTTATATTCACAATTTGAAATTTCATAGTTTTTTTTTATTATAAAAATAAGATATAAAAGTGCAATATAAACAACTACAACATTCTTAGTCTTTCCAATAAAAAAAGTAATAAACAACGCGTGAAAAATTACTTATTAAAAATAAAATTCGTTTTATCAAATCATTTTATAGAACAGTTTGTATGGAAATAATTTTATTGAGTGTAATTTTTTCTAACTATCAGATTTTATAAATCAATGATTAAAAATTGAAATCACATTTTACAAATGGCAATATATATCTTTTATTTTTATTTGCAAACAGACTTTAAATCATAAATGGTATTAGACATGTTATATTCACAATTTGAAATTTTATAGTTTTTTTTTTATAAAAGTAAGATATAAAAGTGCAATATAAACAACTACAACATTCTCAGTTTTTCCAATAAAAAACGTAATAAACGCGTGAAAAAATACACAATTTTGATGATACACAATTAGCATTCACGTGAAAAAAAATATACAATATGAATAAAAATCACCATTAGCGTTCAATGAAATTAGACATGTTATATTCATAATTTGAAATTTTATAGTTTCTTTTTATATATAAAAATAAGATATAAAAGTGCAATATAAACAACTACAACATTCTCAGTCTTTCCATTAAAAAACGTAATAAACAACGCGTGAAAAAAATACACAATTTTGATGATACACAATTAGCATTCACATGAAAAAAATATACAATATGAATAAAAATCACATTAGCGTTCAATGTAATTTTATTTCTATATTATTTGGTGTCAAAACGATTAGTATGCTTATAAGTATCATATCAGCCCCACACAAAAAAATCACCATTGACAAACAAACGAGTAATTAGTGAATCCATAGTAAGTGCCAAACAAAAAATAGATCAACCTTTCAGTCTTATCAAGGAAGTTGAACGAGTAAAGAGAGTTATGTTGCAACTTCAAGTGGTTCGCATGTTTGAGAGTAAATTTCTTAATTCTTATCATAACATAATAGAAATTACTTTTCATAATATTGAGGTATATTATTGTTTATTGTTTCTTTTGTCTTTTCACTTTCATTTCGTTATTTTTTTGTGGAGACTTCTAACAAATACTTCCAGTTATTTCAAAGGGGAGTTGTTAGGATATTGTGAATGCAACTATTAATGCTTCCACCATTTGGAGGGATTGTACTGTGTTGCGACTTTCAAAAAACATGCGAGCGTGACAAGGTAGCAACGTTTACTGATTGGATTGTTAGAATTGGAGATGGGTCTGTAAGAGAATCAAACGATGGTTGTACCTACATTAACATTGTAGATGTTACAAGACTGGAACCCTTCAATGATCCAATTGCTACAATCGTAGAAAGTACCTATCCAATGTTCAAGAATACAACTGACAATTCAAGATATTTGAATGATAGTGCTCTATTAGCGCCTACTTTGGAGGTCGTTGAGTCTATCAATTAATACATGTCGGAGATGAGTTCTGACGAAGGTCGTATGTATTTGAGCTCTGACATTATGTAGAAGTCCCACTCGAATAATGACTTTTTTTTTTTGGGCAAAATCTCCACACTTCCGAGTTCTTGAATAGCATCAAGTTTTTAGGTACACTGTTCCATGAATTGCATATGAAAATTGGAACTCCAATCATGTTATTAAGGAACGTGGACCATTTTATGGGACTGTGCAATGGAACACGATTGGTTGTTACCAAGTTCTCTACTCATGTGCTTGAATATAAGATATTGACTGGAGATCATGAAGGTGAGAATGTGTTGATTTCCTCGAATGAATATGAGACCTTTCTGATGTAAGGGTTCTGTTTACGTTCTAGCGTAGGCAGTTCCCCTTTATAATTTTGTTTGCCATGACCATAAACAAGAGTCAGGGTCGTATAATGTTGTTGTTTTGTGTGTAACTGATATGAAGGGGTTGAAAAGTATTAGTTTGTGAGGACGAGGAGTTGCCCCACAATCAAACTAATAATGTTGTGTATAAGGAGGTTTTTAATAGTGAATGACTTTTTCATGACAAATTTTTTATGATTACTTGACAAATGCTCTACGTATTATAACTTATTGATTAATAACCTTTAATTACTTGACAAATGCTCTACGTATTATAACTTATTGATTAATAACCTTTAATTTATAACCTTTACCAAAATAAATATTGTCCGTGCATCGCACAGGTTACGTACTAGTTAGTGTTAAATAAAAATATCATTAAACAATACTAGTATATAACAAATTAATGTGAGGAATAAATTGTCTCAAAAGTAGCGATTATTATAAGCGTGGATGTTGCTATTATGAAGCAAAAGAACAAATAATAAAAAGCGTGTATTAAAAAGATAACTGCGTAATTAAAAAATAAAACAACTGATCAGCTCCCTCGTCTCCCGTCTCCAATCTAGAGAATATAAATGGTAACGAAATTTTGCAGATTCCAAATGTAAGCGGTGCAATAAAGCGATGACGTCATTGACGACGGAGCCACCCACCCTCCGTTCTATTCCATCCATCGCCGCCTTCTCCCCCGCCGCACCCAACCGCCGTTCATACAGATGCTACAACTGCAACCACTCCTTCCATATAACGCCCACCGCCGCCAATGCATCCTCCGCCTCCCCCTCCTCGTTCCACTGCCCTAGCTGTCACTACCGCCACCTCATCTCCCACCACACCATCTCTCCCCCGCCGCCCGCCTCTACGACCCCGCGGCAGAACCCCGATTACGCCGCCGGCTCGAGCACCTTCGCCTACCAGACCTCCGATGACTCGGACTACGACGAAGAAGATTACGATTCCGACAGCTCCCTTCTCTCCTTTACGGCTCTCAATTCCCATCCGCGCACGCCCGCTCTGAAATCCTTCGTTGGATCGCTTCCGATCAAAACATTTTCCCCAAATTCGACCCCGTCCCTATCTTCGTGCTCAATTTGCATAGAGGATTTTGATATCAAGCCCGACACTTGTGTAACTATCAACGAGCTTCCCTGCGAGCACTATTTTCACAGGGATTGTATTGTCGAGTGGCTCCAGAGGAGCAATACTTGCCCTTTGTGTCGGTATAAACTGCCTGTGGATCCTAGCGGCCCGGTAGAGGTTGCTGACACAAGCAGCAATCGGTGGGAGGTGGAGTATGATACGGTCTTGGTGGTGGATTTAGCTCCGACTAGGAATCCAATGGTGAGGAGGATGGATAGTGTGGAGGAGGGTCTTGTTTCTAGTGGTGGAGCCTCGGCCTCTGATAGGAGGGTTTTGGAAGCTAATGGTGTGGGGGATTTAGATGTAATGCACGATGAGGATGGTGATGTTTTGATGATCGACGCGTAATGAATATGGATTCGTTATGCGTCCAATGTGTATTGGATTTTGTGCTTTCGGTATACTACCGTGTTATATATCAGTTTTTGCTCTTTTTAGTTCTTTGTCGCTAATTAATAAAGAATGGTATTTCTGTTATTATTGTTTTTTATTATAGCGCAGCAATACTTGGATCATTGGTAGTTCTGTAGTGTATGTGGTGATTTTCGAATTTTCTTTGAGATAAAAACTGTAGATTGTGTGTTGTGGTTTTGTTTTTGAATTCTGATTGTTACTCTTGGGTTTGGCATGAATTTTATGTCCTTGATGAAATCCTATATCAAATACAGTTTGTCTAGAGTGTGTGAACATCAGATAAGTTGAAACATTTTCGACTGGTAAATTTGGGGGTTTGACAGGATGAACACATTTTGCACTGACATCAAGGTTGACATAATCGTACAATTATGTCTTTCTATTTCTTTTCACTTAGTTGTTGCCTAGTTATTAAAAGCTCTTTGATCCTTTATGTCACCTTTTTTTCGCTCCTTGACACTCATACATGTGTAATGATTTTAAATATTTCTAATTTTGTAATCTGTCTGTGCGGCGCATAAAGGGATCATCTTGAGACAGCTTATTTCGTGATTCTGTCAAGGTTTTAGTTTCAGTGGCCATTTATTTGTTTCCTTTAACTGTGCTTTCCTGTTGGCGTTCCACAAAAAAACGTGTGGAACTAAGAACCCAATTTCTTTCGACTTCTGGTTGTCAAATGCTTTGGTCCATACTTTTGTGATCACATGAAATCTACTAATTCCGTCCTTGCAACTAAGTCACACCAAGACAGAGATTTTATTTTTATTTTTTTTTTTCATCCCATTTTAATTTGTTGCATGCTTGTGTTAAGCTGGCAGCAAAAACACTGATCTTATTTTGGTTTTCTGCGTGCAGGTTATTACTACCCTTATGGAATTAGTTTGTGCTAGGAGTTTAAAATCATGAACCTGGGATCACATGCTTCTTGTCAGAATTTTATATTTTGCGTGTAGTCTTTTGCAAATGAAGCAGCAGGCCTTGTAGCCTGGACGATCAATAGGTCAAAAGTCAGCTGAAGGAGATTTTATTGGGAAAAGATTGCAAAGAAATGAACAGATCTCATGACCGAGAGATCGTGGAATGGTGACAGAAAATATATATATAAAGGAATGGTGTATACAGATGCAGTAATCATTGGATTATAGATTCATTTGAGATTGTAATTATGTATTTATCAAATCAATAAAATTGAAAGAGTAAACGTGGATGGCGTTTGTGTGTGAATAAAGCGTGTGGCTGCTGTTGCTCCTACAGGTATTTTTTGCTTCTCAATTTGATGTAATTTCAGTTTGACCTGATAGCTGTGACTTCTTGAGCCTTACTTCTTCTCTGTTAAGAAGTATGCTTGACGTCCGAGTGTACACATGTATCAGCCTCCAACAGTGGAGGCTAATTCCTATTCTGGCATTTATGGAATTATTTTTCCTCCTTGTCCTTGTGCTAGAAATGTTAAAGATGTACGTGTTTTAGTTTCACATATGTACCTTTTGCTCCCTGCTCTGGTGATGAATTTCTTGTTTTCCTTTTAACAATGACAGAAAACTATACTTCTGCACATTTGTACATATCATTTGCTTTACTTGAAAAATCATATTGTGCATGAATACAGTCATGGGGAGGTCTATGCCACTTACTACAGCTGTGATATGTAACTCTGCAAGGATTGCAAAGATCATCCGCTGCCTCGTGCAACTGGTCAGCCATATTTGTGGATGTATCTATGTAGCTTGTTGGGTCTTAGTTTCTGGTACTGCAATATATATAGATGTTTGGACTGTCATGTGAATGCATAGAGGAGTTTTGACGTTTGAGCTTTGAGTTTATTTCTTCAAATTCGTTATGGTTATTCACCTTTCTCCAATCACTCGAGAGAATAAATGTCATCGGCTTGTAGAAAAGCCAATTGCTTTAGGTGCCGATATTTAAAGTCATTTGTACATTTTGTGGAGGTAAAATAAGAACAGCCCCCACATTCAACCCCCCCCCTCTTACCATTAGCAAGAACTTGTTTTACTTGTTTATCAACAACCTATTCATCTCATATAGGAGTGTATCCAGCATTGGGATCCTAACAGGTACTTGTTCGGCCACCACCATAGGACTTAGAGGCGCTTGCTAGCAACATTTAGTGCTTCTCCTACCAGGAAACATTGAAATGGTACTAAACATTTTTGTAGGTATCTCCAAAATTCATAAGATCTTGGTTCATTTTATAAGAATAATCAAAATATGACTATCGGTAGGCTTCATATGCTTGACTGTATGTCTTATCCTCATCTGCACACCACATTATGAGATCACATTAGTCCCTACACTTGGACTACATTGGCTTCCGCCTCGGTCTCTCCACATCAGCACCGGCCCCATACGACTTTCTTCATGTCGATCTTGCTAGACAGTGTGAAATGGGTTGCTACCCGTAACTGGTTCAAATCACCCAGTGTGACAAGGTTGTCACCCAAGAACCGGGTAGCGGTCTCGTCCCCGATAAGTTGTACCGCCACGTATTACATCGAATGCAACAAAGCCTTAAAAAACGTCTCTCTGTAAAATGTTCTTAGAAAAAGGAAAAGAAAAAAAAAAAAAAAAAATTCAACCTCCTTCCATTAAAAGGTGGCGTAGAAAAAGTAAAAACCCTTTTATTGTCAACCCCGAATTCTCGTGGAGCTCCACGTAAATAGAATATATATATACGTACACCTCAGAAAACATAGAATTAGAAAGGCCCCATTCTCATATTCTCCTTTTCTTCGACCTTTCACATATCTCTTACATTTTGTTCTCCATAAAAGTTTTAAAACCCCCCACCAAAACAGAAACAAAAAATCAAACTATTCCCCTAAAGGGAACTTTCCCCGCAGAATGTCATCCATATAATGGATCTGAAAATGAACCATCTTTCGCCGACATCCTTAATCCGAACACCGACTCCGACTCTCCTGACAAAGCCAACAATGGCTTCCATTTTCACGGTCACATTCTCGTTCATTGTCATTGCATTCACCACAATTTTCCTGTTAGGAAACTCTCACATCCATCATCAATCCCCTGAATGGTTCAAGAATATACTCAACAACAGGTCCCAGTTTCCTTCTTACCTGTTTGGCACGAAAAGCAACAATGGTGCCGGCCGACTGTTTGATAAAAAGAGCAACTCCCCCTTCTTGCAAAACGGGCCCGCATTAGCTCCTTCGGCAAGCAACTCCCCTGTTTTGCAGAATCAAAACGGGCCCGCATTAGCTCCTTCGGAAAGCAACTCGAACGTTACCAAGAGCTCGTATTCCACCTCATTGCCTGCAAAGAAGAAGAAAATGAATTGGCTTGAGAAGATGAGCAAATGTGATATATACGAGGGGAAATGGGTGAGAGACGATTCTCCTCCTTTATACGAACGTGGTTCGTGTCGTCACATTGACGAGTCTTTTAATTGCTATTTGAATGGAAGGCCTGACTATGGCTATGAAAAATTCAGATGGCAGCCAAATCATTGCAATATACCAAGGTGATATAGAATAAGTCATATATATTTATGTATATTTTATGATGTTGTATTTCTTTTTTTTAAAATTGGTATTGAGGAAGATGTTTTGCTGATAGGTTGGACGGTCGGAAAATGTTGAGATTCTTTAGAGGGAAGAGGATAGTTTATGTGGGGGACTCTTTGAACAGGAACATGTGGGATTCAATGGTTTGTCTGCTCACAAATTCTGTCAAGAATAAAAGCAGAGTCTTTGAGGCTTCTGGCAAAACCGAATTCAAGAAAGAAGGGGCGTACGCCTTTCTATTTCCGGTAAAGTTCTTGCATCTTCGTTGTTATTGTAACTACATATGCTCAAATTACATTGTGTTTAGGTTAGACCTCAAGAGCAATCCTGCAATCAGCATCAAAAGCATTCTTCGCGTCTAGAAAACTTGAGTTAAAGTGGATGATCACAAAATGAGATAGTGATGTATAAAACATGTCTGAACTCTTGTTTTCAATTTTTATAGGACTATAATTTCTCGGTGGAGTACATTAGATCTGCTTTTCTTGTTCAAGAATCTGAAGTGCCAGTGAAAAATGGTACCAAGGAGACACTTCGGCTTGATCTTATTGAGAAGTCATACGGTACTTATAAAGATGCAGATGTGCTCATCTTCAACACAGGGAACTGGTGGACTCACGAGAAAACATCCGAAGGGTATCATTTCTATTTGAATATTTGTTTTGATTTTTTTGTCACATGATTTGTTTCGACATTCTTTTGTGCAGAATAAAATGGAATGAATTAGTAAGATGAAAATGCATATCTTGTAGGAAAGGATACTATCAAGAAGGCGACCATGTTCATGAAAAGCTTGACGTTGTCGAAGCTTTTGATAGAGCTATGGCTACTTGGGCGAGATGGGTGGAGGCCAATGTGGATCCTATGAAAACCCATGTTTTCTTTAGAAGTTATACTCTGTCTCATTTCAGGTAAACCAGAAATTTCTGAAATGTAATGTATAGTTACTGAAAATGCCCATTTAAATGCATCACTCCACTCATTCAAATCTCAAGGAACTTTTTTGTAATATTGGAAATTAGATGGGTCTTTTATGCAATTAAATCAAAATTATTTTATATTTTTATCATGACTGTTAAACTAAGAAAATCATCTAAATTATTGTGTAATTAAGTTTTCCTCCATTTGTCCCAAAAAAAAAAAAAAAAAAAACAGCAAAGGGGAGTGGAATTCCGGCGGACAATGTGACGACAAAGAACCGATTAAGGACGACAAAGACTTACTGAGACTAGATGAACTTAGCCCCCCAATACCTCTCATGCTCGAAAACTCCCTCAAAAAGGTCAAAGCACCCGTTTCGTACCTAAATGTCACCAGAATGACAAACTACCGGCAAGACGCGCACCCTTCATTGTATCGGAAGCCAAACATGACACAAGAAGAAAAACAAGAATTCCAAACGCATCAAGACTGCAGCCATTGGTGTCTGCCTGGAGTGCCCGACACATGGAACCAACTTTTATTTGCTCAACTTTTGTTACAACATAAACAACGCCAATGGAACCACACCAATAATGTAAGTTAGATATTATACGGACTTACACTCTCCGGTTGACCGTTTGCCTCAAAATTCAAACCAACTTATGACAATATGACCCTTTTCAAATGCTAGTGTTTTTAAAGAGATATGGTGAAGAGATAGTAGGCAAGCGCTGAGGAGTCTATAGAGATTGAGGAATTATTCATGGTGCAGTTAAAACTGTGTATTTTAAAGGCAACCCTTGAGCCTCTTGTTTGCCGTTACTCCTACAAGGATCATTTTCTTTTTTTTCTTCGTGATCTTGTGAAACTTGGGAGTAAAAGAAGATGAGACTTTCGAGAGAGATTCTGCTTTTGCGAGTGTTAGACAATGTAAAATGACATGACATAAAAGTTCACAGCAACATACTGCATGTTTTTATTTCATTTCTGTGTGTCAACTATAAATGGCAATTGCACATGAATCTTCTGATACAAGAAGTGCAAGCCCTGTGATGCCTCGACGATTTCTACATGCGCTAAGCTAAGTATATTATATGCAATATTATACATACCTTATTGGTTTATTGTGTGACAAAATATCCAGTTATTAAACACAGTTTAAATTGCACATGAATCTTCTGTATTTTCAATTCACACACTGGTATGCACATTTGTGGCCAATCTAAATTAGTGTTACCCGAATCAAATCTATCTATTAATATATAAAGAAACAAAGATATTTACTTGGAATAGTAAATAAAAATCAGTAAAAAAACATTTTGGTTCCCGCCTAAAAATTCATAATTACTAAATTGGGTAGTTTTTTTTTGCCAAAATTTGAAAACTCCCGCCTAAATTAATGTTATTAATGTACAAAATTATTTTGGTCAAATATTGTGGCTATTACCTTTATTAATTGAACGGTTTAAATTTGGAATATAATATATTGACAAAAGTTGCTTGCATGTTTTAAATTTGGTATATAATATATTGAAAAAATAAATAAAAATATTTTTATTTAAAACTAAAAATTAAAAAATAATTATTCATAACTTACGGGTCAATATTAACTTGAAATAGCCAATTATTGATAGTTCAATAAATTACCCAATAACTTACGGGTCATTATTAACTTGGACATAAATGAAATAGTCAATTAATTATAGTTTAATAAATTACTCAACTACTTATTTTTTTTTTATTTAAATAGTTTATACAAAAGTAAATTTATTCTAAGTAATTAAACAATATAAATTTTATATTTATATTTATTATCCACATAGGTTGTTAAATACATGATAAAATTTTACCAAAATAACTATTTGATGGAATCACGTTATAATCAAATCTAATTTCTGATAAAAACTTTGAAATTACACTTATTTGAAACAAATATAATGAAATTTATTATCAGTTATGTGCACCGCACGAGTTGTGTAAAAATTTTAATAGACTTTTTTATGTAATGTTGCACAATTCAAACTTTATATAACATTTTTAATAAATTAATATAGGTAATTGTATTACATATTGATTTCATACTTTTAATTTATGAATATTATTTAATAAAAAATTTTAATTTATAAATATTAATGAATAATCTCTTACCCGTGCACTGCATGGGGCTCATACTAGTTAATGACCAAATGCCTCAAGTAATACATATAAGTCATCGAGTCCAATAGAAAATCGACAACCTTCAAGAATCACATCGGCACTCACCTCCCATGACTGAAGTGCCGATCTCAGTGTCAACCACGAGGAGCTTCCTTCGTGCCGATCTGGTTACCCACTATTAAAAGAGTTACCGATGACCAGATTAACCACCCAAATATATGGACAGAGTGGCTGCCCACAAACTCCATATGTCTCATCCCAGAAAAATGTGCTGTCATTTGTCCTCATTTGTCCATACAGAGGGGCATTCACTTGATAGTGACTCGTCAAGCAGTTATGATTATTTTGGCATGTTTTATCCAGTATAAAATGTAATAACTAGCACAACATTAAGGGCGTGATTGTATATAAATTGTACAGTAAGGGGTAATTGTTTACGGATTTAATTAGTTTTTAATTGGTGTTCTTTACTATAGTTAAATTTGAAAAAAGTTTGTCTGGTTAGTTGGTAGTGAATATATTAAAATAATATTTAAAATAAAATCATTAAAATTGATATGATGAAAAAAAAGAAAAATAATTGAAAGTGATAGTTTGTTAAAATTATGTGAGTAAATGAATAATTGATGTGATTTGTAAAAATAATCAGTTGATATTATTTAATTATATTAATAACTAGTACAACTCCCGTGTATTACACAGGTGTTTGCTAATTTTTTTTCTTAAAATATAAAATTAATGAGAAAAATAGTTAAAAATTTAAATATCTTTTATAATATATATTATTATATATTTAGTATGCCACTTTTTATTTGTGCGACTTACCTGTGTTATATTATAATAATTTTTTTAACTTACAACATCTAACAACATTAAACATAAATATATCGATTGAGAAATAATTTTATTTTTCTAATGAATTTTAATAAATATAATTATTTTTTTATTATTATAAATATAAATATAATTTATTTATTTCAATATATATACAATATGGATGTCAAATTGAAGATCAACAAAAGATGATTAATTTGATATATTATATATATAAAACCGATAAAAAATACAAAAGTTATCAAATTTTAAAATACATTTACAATTCAATAGCTAATTGAAGGAAACAAATCAAAAGTCAGGGATATATTAGTCACTTATCTCACTATGTAAAATTACAAAGAATTAAAGGGTTATATTAGTACAAGTGATATTAAAATATCTAAATTAGCTAAATAATATTTATGGAATGTCCAAACCTAGATTATTAATTATTAATATATATCAATATTATTTGTACAAACCTAATTACGGAGCATGATTCTTCGCCAAGTAGGATTCCGAAACACCAGAAACAGCCACGTAGGCTCAGCGCATTCCAAAATTATATATCAATATTATTTGTCCAAACCTAATTACGAAGCATGATTTTTCGCCAAGTAGGATTCCGAAGCACCAGAAACAGCCACGTAGGCTCAGCGCATTCGAGAATTTTATATAGGGAGGATATTAGAGATAGCGGGATTGGTTAAAATTGAGTTAAATTTGAATTTGATATTTTTTTTTTTTGGGAATTGAGATGATAAACAATTTAATAAAATAATAATAATAAAAAAAACGAGTTTACACCGTTGGGACCCTCGTGAGACGGAGACGGTAAACGGTGTTTGATGGTAAGTGAAGATGGCAGCAGCACGCCACTTTCGTGTTGTTTGCAGCATAAAATGGAAAAAAAAAAAAATAACAACAAAAAACTGAGTTCTCTACCAATTTCTGAGCAGCCAAACATGTCAATTTGGTCGCCTGGAGTAAATTACTTCAAACTGATCATTCTCTGCAGTGTTCATTCGAGCTATTTGGATACGATTTACGAAGTAAATTTTATTGCAGTATTTCTCCCTTTTTTTTTGCCCCTTTTTTGGCAGTATTTTTTCTTCATATTTGTTGATTTCTTTGACAGGTTAAAGGTGACCCAGTAGTCCCTGATTTCACGACTATGTTAATTTTTGAAAGATTATTTGCTTGAGAAGATAATAAAAAAATTATGTAACCTAGTTAATTCATATTTGTTAGGGGTTTTCGCTTGATATCTCCGAGTATGAGGCATGATTTAACGCAAGGCCTACAGGCTCGGCGAGGATTTTATCACGATGTCCGCCTCACCGGTCGAGGGATATATCTTATAATTGGTATTGTTGTTCTTGTTCATATAGTTGTCCTTTTTATTGCTATTGTTGTTGTTGTTATTATAGTTGTTGTCTTTTTAGTGGTATTGATTGGTACTAAAATGTCATAATGAATGATTCAAATCCGGCTGCGTGCAATATTGCAAATCCGTGTAAGGTTTCTGAATTCGTGAGGCAGTTCTGCTGCCTTGAAAGCTTAGAGTGTTCCCTGTCAGATGCCCATGTCCGCCAGGTAAATACTATATTAATCTAAGTCTTGGTTTAATTGCTAATTGTATGATAGTTGTTATTGATGATACTTTTGTAATTAATATCTCATGTCCATTGATGATACTATTGCAATTAGTACGATTATAGAAAACTAAGATAGATAACTCTACTAATCATTTTCATACTATCTAGTAGCCAAACAAGTCGGCTAATATATATGCATATGTTGATATGTAATGCAGTACTACAATATCTTATACCTTGTAAAAAATTCATCCTCGAAACTTGTAACAACTCAGTGTACTTCTTGCTCATATTCTCTTCTGGCTCTAAGTTGCCTCTTCCACTCTATGGTTTCTCAAAATAACTTTAACCAATGGTATTTCTTTGTTTTGTAACTTCTGTGTTTCTCGATCCACAATTTCAATTGGTTTTCTTCGTACCTAAAATCTTCTTGTATTTGAACGGTTTGAGATTGGATAACATGACTTGGATTTGACATGTACTTTTTCAACATCGATACATTAATAACATTGTGAATTAGTAGGGATGGCAATGAGCTAGGTCGGGTCCGGTAGTTCGGTATTCAAACCTGGCCCATTGCTCCCACACCCCACCCATGCCCTCCCATTGCCGGGAATCGTGCTACCATTAGCCAAATACAAGGGGAGGGGTTTGATGCAATTTTTGAAATACCAGGGAAATGGAAAACTAACTAAAACGCTGATATTTTGTACAAGGTGGTCGGGTCATGTATATTTACCAGGAAAATAAGTCACGTGTATGTATATATAATGCGGCATTACTTGTCACCATTAAACTTCTAAACTTTTTCATTTCATTTTTTTTATTGTTTTGGGGTTACTCATTTGTAACTTTGTAATGGGACCAATATTTAGCACATCGAAATCAATGTTGTGTTTTCAAAATTAATTTTTAAGATTAGATGCCTCTATATAGGATGTTTAGAAATTGATGATTTCAATATATTATTTTGTGTTCAGTTTTTAGGTGCTTTACTTTTATAAATGGTATATTAAACTTTCATTATATAGCA